TAGCCATGTCGGCCATCTTGGTTGGCAGGCGGGGTCATCGGACACATTTTTAAAACTAGATACCCTAGTGATGATTGTGGCCAAGTTTGGTTAAATTTGGCCCAGTAGTTTCAGAGGAGATTTTTGTAAAAGTTAACGGACGACGACGGACGCCAAGTGATGAGAAAAGCTCACTTGGCCCTGTCAGGTGAGCTAATAAACCTAGTTTAAATAAAAAAATTGTAATGAATAAATACCTACATGTGACATCCTAATGTGCTATCTACAATGAAACCATTTTCATTGTCGAAGAGTGTAACATATTTAGGCGTTATCTGTAACAAAAACAAAAATTGTAAATTAGTATCAGCTTTAAATAGGGAATATTTGATGTTGCAATCAATTCAGAAATTAATGTGATGCATGTTTTATGTCAAATCCTAAATTGGAGACTAGAATATTTACAATTACTTAACTTATTACAGTAAATATTTGAATAAAAGAAATGTTCGACAAATTTGTAATAAAATTTTAAACTGTTGTTCAACGGGAAAACTGATTTTTGTTACCCAACACATATAAAAAGAGTTAAAAGTACAATTATAATGACCAAATACCTACATGATACAAATCTTCGTGTGCTGTATACCATGAAAGCATCTTCATTGTCTAGGAGGGTAACATATCTAGTCTATCTGTAACAAAAACAAAAACTCTAAATCAGTATCAGCTTTAAATAGAGAATATTGGTTGTTGCAATTAATTCAAAATTAATATGATGCATTTTTGATGAAAAATCCTAATTTGAAGACAAGTATATAAACAATTTCTATACATTATCATTAAAATAATCTTCATAAGAGTATAAATTTGAATTGAAGAAATTGTAAATCAATTTGTTATCAAATCTAATTTAAGCTTCCAGGGAAAACTTATTTTTGTTACCTGCAAACCATATAAACATAGTTTAAAGTACAATTAAAAATACCAAATACCTACATGCTACGTATCCAGATGTGTGATCAATCTACCATGAAACCATCTTCATTGTCTAGGAGTGTAACATATTTCGGCTGTATCTATAACAAAACCAAATCATCAATTAGTATCAGCTTCAAATAGAGACTATTGGCTGTTGCAACAATTATAAAATAAATGTCACTCATATTTTATGTCAAATCCTAAATTGGACACAAGAATATTTAAAATTACTACGCATTCATGTTAAAATTTACTTCACTAGATTATAAATTTGAACAAAAGAAATATGTACACTAAGTTGAAATAATATTTTATTTAAGCTGTTGTTCCCGAGAAAACTGATATTTATTACCCAACACATATAAACATAGTCTAAAGTACAATTGTAATGACTACCTACATGTTAAACATCCTAATGTGCATCTACCATGAAACCATATTCATTGGGTAGGAGTGGAACATATCTGGGCTGTATCTGTTACAAAAGAAAAAATTTAAATTAGCATCAGCTTTAGAGAATATTTAATGGCTGTTAAAAAAATTTAAAAATTAATGTGATTCATGTTTTATGTCAAATCTTAAATTACGGACAATTAATTTACAATTACTCTTTCATTCTTATTAAAATATACCACATTTGAAATTCGAATAAAAGATATTTTAGACCAATCTGTAATAAAATTTTAAGCTATTGTTTCAGTGAAAACAGATTTTTATTGACTTCCAAATATTAACATAGTTTTAAGTACAATTGTAATGACCAAATACTTACATGTTGACTCTTCCTATCTGCCATGAATCCATCTTCTCTGTCTAGGAGTGCAACATATTTAGATGTATCTTTAACAAAAACTATAAATTAATATCAGCTTTAAATACAGACTATTTGCTGTTGCAATTTTTTCAGAATTTAATCTTTGCATGTTGAAGAATATTTATAATTACTATACATTCCATTAAGAATATATTTCATTAGAGTATAAATTTGAAGAAATTTTTTTGAGACCAATTTGTAATAAAAGTTTCAAACTGGTTGATAATGAAATAGAGCCAGACAAAAAAACTAAATACATTTTACCATAAACACAATTTATCATACTATGTAATCAGCTCTGCTGGGGGATCTGCTTTTACGAGATTAGCGCCCATTAAATTCATCAATGTTATATCAAAATCTAAAGTTTGCTCTCTGCAGAGGTCTGCTTTTACGAGACCCATTTTAACATAAAGCATCTTTTTGTCAAACTGTTCAGGAAAAAACGGATTTTTATTACCTAACAAACATAAACATAGTTTTAAGAACAATTATAATGACCAAATACCTACATGTGCAACATCCTAATGTGTGAAAGCATCTTTCATGGTATAGGAGTGTTACATATTAAGGCTGTATAATCTGTAACAAAAACAAAAATTATTAATTAGTTTACGCTTTAAATCCAGACTCTTTGCTGTTGCAATCAATTCAGAAAATAATGTGATGCATGTTTTATGTTAAATCCCGAAATAGAGAAAAGTATACAATTACAATTACTATACGTTCTTATTAAAATATTCAGCATTAAGAGTATAAATTTGAATGAAAGAAATTTTAGACCAATTTGTTATAAAGCTTCAATCTGTTGTTTCAGGAAAAAACTGATTTTTATTACCTAACAAATATAAATATAGTTTGAAGGAAAATTGTAATGACCAAATACCTACATGTGACTTATCCTAATGTGCATCTGCAATGGAAGCATCTTTCATGGTATAGGAGTCTTACATATTTAGGCTGTATCTGTAATGAAAACAAAAAAAATAAACATTAATTTCAGCTTTTAATCCAGACTTTTTGCTGTTGCAATCAATTCAGAAATTAATGTGATGCATGTTGTAATGTGTAATGTCAAATCCTTAATTGGAGACAAGAATTTTTACAATCACTATACATTCTTATTAAAATATATCTCATTACAGTGAATATTTCAATAAATGTAATGTAGGACCAATTTGTAATAAAATTTCAAGCTGTTGTTCCAGGAAAAACTGATTTTTATTACCTAACAAATATAAACATAGTTTTAAGAACAATTGTTATGAATAAAAACCTACATGTGACTAATCCTAATGTGCTATCTGCAATGGAAGCATCTTTCATGGTATAGGAGTCTTACATATTTAGGCAGTATCTGTAACAAAAACAAATATTTTAAATTAGTTTCAGCTTCAAAATCAAAGCTATTTGCTGTTGCAATCAATTCAGAAATTAATGTGATGCATGTTTAATGTCAAATCCTAAATTGGAGACGTATATTTACAATAACTATACATTCTTATTAAAATATACTTCATTAGGATATAAATAGGAATAAAAGAAATTTTAGACCAATTTGTTATAAAGCTTCAATCTGTTGTTTCAGTGAAAACTGATTTTAATGCCTAACAAATACTAGAGGCTCCAAGGAGCCTGTGTCGCTCACCTGATATTTTTATTTACAATTGATGCATGAAATAATGCAACCGTTATACATTTGCTTTAGTTTCAGAGATACAAGTCAAAAACTGCATTTTCCCCCAAAGTTCTATTTTTAGCCATGTCTGACATGTTGGTTGGCAGGCAGGGTCATCGGACACATTTATTAAACTAGATACCCTAGTGATGATTGTGGCCAAGTTTGGTTAAATTTGTCTCAGTTGTTTCAGGAGAGAAGATTTTTGTAAAAGATTACAAAAATTTACGAATAATTGTTAAATTTGACTTTAAAGGGCAATAACTCCTTATGGGGTCAATTGACCATATTGGTCATGTTGACTTCTTTGTAGATCTGACTTTGCTGAACATAATGGCTGTTTACAGTTTATCTCCATCTATAATAATATTCAAGATAACAAAAAACTGCAAAATTTCCTTAAAATTACTAATTCAGGGGCAGCAACCCAACAAAGGGTTGTCTGATTAATCTGAAAATTTCAGGGCAGATAGATCTTAACCTGATGAACATTTTTACCCATAGTCAGATTTGCTCAAAATGCTTTAGTTTCAGAGATATAAGCCAAAAACTGCATTTTACCCTTATGTTCTATTTTTAGCCATGTCGGCCATCTTGGTTGGCAGGCGGGGTCATCGGACACATTTTTAAAACTAGATACCCTAGTGATGATTGTGGCCAAGTTTGGTTAAATTTGGCCCAGTAGTTTCAGAGGAGATTTTTGTAAAAGTTAACGGACGACGACGGACGCCAAGTGATGAGAAAAGCTCACTTGGCCCTGTCAGGTGAGCTAATAAACCTAGTTTAAATAAAAAAATTGTAATGAATAAATACCTACATGTGACATCCTAATGTGCTATCTACAATGAAACCATTTTCATTGTCGAAGAGTGCAACATATTTAGGCGTTATCTGTAACAAAAACAAAAATTGTAAATTAGTATCAGCTTTAAATAGGGAATATTTGATGTTGCAATCAATTCAGAAATTAATGTGATGCATGTTTTATGTCAAATCCTAAATTGGAGACTAGAATATTTACAATTACTTAACTTATTACAGTAAATATTTGAATAAAAGAAATGTTCGACAAATTTGTAATAAAATTTTAAACTGTTGTTCAACGGGAAAACTGATTTTTGTTACCCAACACATATAAAAAGAGTTAAAAGTACAATTATAATGACCAAATACCTACATGATACAAATCTTCGTGTGCTGTATACCATGAAAGCATCTTCATTGTCTAGGAGGGTAACATATCTAGTCTATCTGTAACAAAAACAAAAACTCTAAATCAGTATCAGCTTTAAATAGAGAATATTGGTTGTTGCAATTAATTCAAAATTAATATGATGCATTTTTGATGAAAAATCCTAATTTGAAGATATATAAACAATTTCTATACATTATCATTAAAATAATCTTCATAAGAGTATAAATTTGAATTGAAGAAATTTTAAATCAATTTGTTATCAAATCCAATTTAAGCTTCCAGGGAAAACTTATTTTTGTTACCTGCAAACCATATAAACATAGTTTAAAGTACAATTAAAAATACCAAATACCTACATGCTACGTATCCAGATGTGTGATCAATCTACCATGAAACCATCTTCATTGTCTAGGAGTGTAACATATTTCGGCTGTATCTATAACAAAACCAAATCATCAATTAGTATCAGCTTCAAATAGAGACTATTGGCTGTTGCAACAATTATAAAATAAATGTCACTCATATTTTATGTCAAATCCTAAATTGGACACAAGAATATTTAAAATTACAACGCATTCATGTTAAAATTTACTTCACTAGATTATAAATTTGAACAAAAGAAATATGTACACTAATTTGAAATAATATTTTATTTAAGCTGTTGTTCCTGAGAAAACTGATATTTATTACCCAACACATATAAACATAGTCTAAAGTACAATTGTAATGACTACCTACATGTTAAACATCCTAATGTGCATCTACCATGAAACCATATTCATTGGGTAGGAGTGGAACATATCTGGGCTGTATCTGTTACAAAAGAAAAAATTTAAATTAGCATCAGCTTTAGAGAATATTTAATGGCTGTTAAAAAAATTTAAAAATTAATGTGATTCATGTTTTATGTCAAATCTTAAATTACGGACAATTAATTTACAATTACTCTTTCATTCTTATTAAAATATACCACATTTGAAATTCGAATAAAAGATATTTTAGACCAATCTGTAATAAAATTTTAAGCTATTGTTTCAGTGAAAACAGATTTTTATTGACTTCCAAATATTAACATAGTTTTAAGTACAATTGTAATGACCAAATACTTACATGTTGACTCTTCCTATCTGCCATGAATCCATCTTCTCTGTCTAGGAGTGCAACATATTTAGATGTATCTTTAACAAAAACTATAAATTAATATCAGCTTTAAATACAGACTATTTGCTGTTGCAATTTTTTCAGAATTTAATCTTTGCATGTTGAAGAATATTTATAATTACTATACATTCCATTAAGAATATATTTCATTAGAGTATAAATTTGAAGAAATTTTTTTGAGACCAATTTGTAATAAAAGTTTCAAACTGGTTGATAATGAAATAGAGCCAGACAAAAAAACTAAATACATTTTACTATAAACACAATTTATCATACTATGTAATCAGCTCTGCTGGGGGATCTGCTTTTACGAGATTAGCGCCCATTAAATTCATCAATGTTATATCAAAATCTAAAGTTTGCTCTCTGCAGAGGTCTGCTTTTACGAGACCCATTTTAACATAAAGCATCTTTTTGTCAAACTGTTCAGGAAAAAACGGATTTTTATTACCTAACAAACATAAACATAGTTTTAAGAACAATTATAATGACCAAATACCTACATGTGCAACATCCTAATGTGTGAAAGCATCTTTCATGGTATAGGAGTGTTACATATTAAGGCTGTATAATCTGTAACAAAAACAAAAATTATTAATTAGTTTACGCTTTAAATCCAGACTCTTTGCTGTTGCAATCAATTCAGAAAATAATGTGATGCATGTTTTATGTTAAATCCCGAAATAGAGAAAAGTATACAATTACAATTACTATACGTTCTTATTAAAATATTCAGCATTAAGAGTATAAATTTGAATGAAAGAAATTTTAGACCAATTTGTTATAAAGCTTCAATCTGTTGTTTCAGGAAAAAACTGATTTTTATTACCTAACAAATATAAATATAGTTTGAAGGAAAATTGTAATGACCAAATACCTACATGTGACTTATCCTAATGTGCATCTGCAATGGAAGCATCTTTCATGGTATAGGAGTCTTACATATTTAGGCTGTATCTGTAATGAAAACAAAAAAAATAAACATTAATTTCAGCTTTTAATCCAGACTTTTTGCTGTTGCAATCAATTCAGAAATTAATGTGATGCATGTTGTAATGTCAAATCCTTAATTGGAGACAAGAATTTTTACAATCACTATACATTCTTATTAAAATATATCTCATTACAGTGAATATTTCAATAAATGTAATGTAGGACCAATTTGTAATAAAATTTCAAGCTGTTGTTCCAGGAAAAACTGATTTTTATTACCTAACAAATATAAACATAGTTTTAAGAACAATTGTTATGAATAAAAACCTACATGTGACTAATCCTAATGTGCTATCTGCAATGGAAGCATCTTTCATGGTATAGGAGTCTTACATATTTAGGCAGTATCTGTAACAAAAACAAATATTTTAAATTAGTTTCAGCTTCAAAATCAAAGCTATTTGCTGTTGCAATCAATTCAGAAATTAATGTGATGCATGTTTAATGTCAAATCCTAAATTGGAGACGTATATTTACAATAACTATACATTCTTATTAAAATATACTTCATTAGGATATAAATAGGAATAAAAGAAATTTTAGACCAATTTGTTATAAAGCTTCAATCTGTTGTTTCAGTGAAAACTGATTTTAATGCCTAACAAATACTAGAGGCTCCAAGGAGCCTGTGTCGCTCACCTGATATTTTTATTTACAATTGATGCATGAAATAATGCAACCGTTATACATTTGCTTTAGTTTCAGAGATACAAGTCAAAAACTGCATTTTCCCCCAAAGTTCTATTTTTAGCCATGTCTGACATGTTGGTTGGCAGGCAGGGTCATCGGACACATTTATTAAACTAGATACCCTAGTGATGATTGTGGCCAAGTTTGGTTAAATTTGTCTCAGTTGTTTCAGGAGAGAAGATTTTTGTAAAAGATTACAAAAATTTACGAATAATTGTTAAATTTGACTTTAAAGGGCAATAACTCCTTATGGGGTCAATTGACCATATTGGTCATGTTGACTTCTTTGTAGATCTGACTTTGCTGAACATAATGGCTGTTTACAGTTTATCTCCATCTATAATAATATTCAAGATAACAAAAAACTGCAAAATTTCCTTAAAATTACTAATTCAGGGGCAGCAACCCAACAAAGGGTTGTCTGATTAATCTGAAAATTTCAGGGCAGATAGATCTTAACCTGATGAACATTTTTACCCATAGTCAGATTTGCTCAAAATGCTTTAGTTTCAGAGATATAAGCCAAAAACTGCATTTTACCCTTATGTTCTATTTTTAGCCATGTCGGCCATCTTGGTTGGCAGGCGGGGTCATCGGACACATTTTTAAAACTAGATACCCTAGTGATGATTGTGGCCAAGTTTGGTTAAATTTGGCCCAGTAGTTTCAGAGGAGATTTTTGTAAAAGTTAACGGACGACGACGGACGCCAAGTGATGAGAAAAGCTCACTTGGCCCTGTCAGGTGAGCTAATAAACCTAGTTTAAATAAAAAAATTGTAATGAATAAATACCTACATGTGACATCCTAATGTGCTATCTACAATGAAACCATTTTCATTGTCGAAGAGTGCAACATATTTAGGCGTTATCTGTAACAAAAACAAAAATTGTAAATTAGTATCAGCTTTAAATAGGGAATATTTGATGTTGCAATCAATTCAGAAATTAATGTGATGCATGTTTTATGTCAAATCCTAAATTGGAGACTAGAATATTTACAATTACTTAACTTATTACAGTAAATATTTGAATAAAAGAAATGTTCGACAAATTTGTAATAAAATTTTAAACTGTTGTTCAACGGGAAAACTGATTTTTGTTACCCAACACATATAAAAAGAGTTAAAAGTACAATTATAATGACCAAATACCTACATGATACAAATCTTCGTGTGCTGTATACCATGAAAGCATCTTCATTGTCTAGGAGGGTAACATATCTAGTCTATCTGTAACAAAAACAAAAACTCTAAATCAGTATCAGCTTTAAATAGAGAATATTGGTTGTTGCAATTAATTCAAAATTAATATGATGCATTTTTGATGAAAAATCCTAATTTGAAGATATATAAACAATTTCTATACATTATCATTAAAATAATCTTCATAAGAGTATAAATTTGAATTGAAGAAATTTTAAATCAATTTGTTATCAAATCCAATTTAAGCTTCCAGGGAAAACTTATTTTTGTTACCTGCAAACCATATAAACATAGTTTAAAGTACAATTAAAAATACCAAATACCTACATGCTACGTATCCAGATGTGTGATCAATCTACCATGAAACCATCTTCATTGTCTAGGAGTGTAACATATTTCGGCTGTATCTATAACAAAACCAAATCATCAATTAGTATCAGCTTCAAATAGAGACTATTGGCTGTTGCAACAATTATAAAATAAATGTCACTCATATTTTATGTCAAATCCTAAATTGGACACAAGAATATTTAAAATTACAACGCATTCATGTTAAAATTTACTTCACTAGATTATAAATTTGAACAAAAGAAATATGTACACTAATTTGAAATAATATTTTATTTAAGCTGTTGTTCCTGAGAAAACTGATATTTATTACCCAACACATATAAACATAGTCTAAAGTACAATTGTAATGACTACCTACATGTTAAACATCCTAATGTGCATCTACCATGAAACCATATTCATTGGGTAGGAGTGGAACATATCTGGGCTGTATCTGTTACAAAAGAAAAAAATTAAATTAGCATCAGCTTTAGAGAATATTTAATGGCTGTTAAAAAAATTTAAAAATTAATGTGATTCATGTTTTATGTCAAATCTTAAATTACGGACAATTAATTTACAATTACTCTTTCATTCTTATTAAAATATACCACATTTGAAATTCGAATAAAAGATATTTTAGACCAATCTGTAATAAAATTTTAAGCTATTGTTTCAGTGAAAACAGATTTTTATTGACTTCCAAATATTAACATAGTTTTAAGTACAATTGTAATGACCAAATACTTACATGTTGACTCTTCCTATCTGCCATGAATCCATCTTCTCTGTCTAGGAGTGCAACATATTTTGATGTATCTTTTAACAAAAACTATAAATTAATATCAGCTTTAAATACAGACTATTTGCTGTTGCAATTTTTTCAGAATTTAATCTTTGCATGTTGGAGAAGAATATTTATAATTACTATACATTCCATTAAGAATATATTTCATTAGAGTATAAATTTGAAGAAATTTTTTTGAGACCAATTTGTAATAAAGTTTCAAACTGGTTGATAATGAAATAGAGCCAGACAAAAAAACTAAATACATTTTACCATAAACACAATTTATCATACTATGTAATCAGCTCTGCTGGGGGATCTGCTTTTACGAGATTAGCGCCCATTAAATTCATCAATGTTATATCAAAATCTAGTTTGCTCTCTGCAGAGGTCTGCTTTTACGAGACCCATTTTAACATAAAGCATCTTTTTGTCAAACTGTTCAGGAAAAAACGGATTTTTATTACCTAACAAACATAAACATAGTTTTAAGAACAATTATAATGACCAAATACCTACATGTGCAACATCCTAATGTGTGAAAGCATCTTTCATGGTATAGGAGTGTTACATATTAAGGCTGTATAATCTGTAACAAAAACAAAAATTATTACTTAGTTTACGCTTTAAATCCAGACTCTTTGCTGTTGCAATCAATTCAGAAAATAATGTGATGCATGTTTTATGTTAAATCCCGAAATAGAGAAAAGTATACAATTACAATTACTATACGTTCTTATTAAAATATTCAGCATTAAGAGTATAAATTTGAATGAAAGAAATTTTAGACCAATTTGTTATAAAGCTTCAATCTGTTGTTTCAGGAAAAAACTGATTTTTATTACCTAACAAATATAAATATAGTTTGAAGGAAAATTGTAATGACCAAATACCTACATGTGACTTATCCTAATGTGCATCTGCAATGGAAGCATCTTTCATGGTATAGGAGTCTTACATATTTAGGCTGTATCTGTAATGAAAACAAAAAAAATAAACATTAATTTCAGCTTTTAATCCAGACTTTTTGCTGTTGCAATCAATTCAGAAATTAATGTGATGCATGTTGTAATGTCAAATCCTTAATTGGAGACAAGAATTTTTACAATCACTATACATTCTTATTAAAATATATCTCATTACAGTGAATATTTCAATAAATGTAATGTAGGACCAATTTGTAATAAAATTTCAAGCTGTTGTTCCAGGAAAAACTGATTTTTATTACCTAACAAATATAAACATAGTTTTAAGAACAATTGTTATGAATAAAAACCTACATGTGACTAATCCTAATGTGCTATCTGCAATGGAAGCATCTTTCATGGTATAGGAGTCTTACATATTTAGGCAGTATCTGTAACAAAAACAAATATTTTAAATTAGTTTCAGCTTCAAAATCAAAGCTATTTGCTGTTGCAATCAATTCAGAAATTAATGTGATGCATGTTTAATGTCAAATCCTAAATTGGAGACGTATATTTACAATAACTATACATTCTTATTAAAATATACTTCATTAGGATATAAATAGGAATAAAAGAAATTTTAGACCAATTTGTTATAAAGCTTCAATCTGTTGTTTCAGTGAAAACTGATTTTAATGCCTAACAAATACTAGAGGCTCCAAGGAGCCTGTGTCGCTCACCTGATATTTTTATTTACAATTGATGCATGAAATAATGCAACCGTTATACATTTGCTTTAGTTTCAGAGATACAAGTCAAAAACTGCATTTTCCCCCAAAGTTCTATTTTTAGCCATGTCTGACATGTTGGTTGGCAGGCAGGGTCATCGGACACATTTATTAAACTAGATACCCTAGTGATGATTGTGGCCAAGTTTGGTTAAATTTGTCTCAGTTGTTTCAGGAGAGAAGATTTTTGTAAAAGATTACAAAAATTTACGAATAATTGTTAAATTTGACTTTAAAGGGCAATAACTCCTTATGGGGTCAATTGACCATATTGGTCATGTTGACTTCTTTGTAGATCTGACTTTGCTGAACATAATGGCTGTTTACAGTTTATCTCCATCTATAATAATATTCAAGATAACAAAAAACTGCAAAATTTCCTTAAAATTACTAATTCAGGGGCAGCAACCCAACAAAGGGTTGTCTGATTCATCTGAAAATTTCAGGGCAGATAGATCTTAACCTGATGAACATTTTTACCCACAGTCAGATTTGCTCTAAATGCTTTAGTTTCAGAGATATAAGAGAAAAACTGCATTTTACCCCTATGTTCTATTTTTAGCCATGTCGGCCATCTTGGTTGGCAGGCGGGGTCATCGGACACATTTTTAAAACTAGATACCCTAGTGATGATTGTGGCCAAGTTTGGTTAAATTTGGCCCAGTAGTTTCAGAGGAGATTTTTGTAAAAGTTAACGGACGACGACGGACGCCAAGTGATGAGAAAAGCTCACTTGGCCCTGTCAGGTGAGCTAATAAACCTAGTTTAAATAAAAAAATTGTAATGAATAAATACCTACATGTGACATCCTAATGTGCTATCTACAATGAAACCATTTTCATTGTCGAAGAGTGCAACATATTTAGGCGTTATCTGTAACAAAAACAAAAATTGTAAATTAGTATCAGCTTTAAATAGGGAATTTTTGATGTTGCAATCAATTCAGAAATTAATGTGATGCATGTTTTATGTCAAATCCTAAATTGGAGACTAGAATATTTACAATTACTTAACTTATTACAGTAAATATTTGAATAAAAGAAATGTTCGACAAATTTGTAATAAAATTTTAAACTGTTGTTCAACGGGAAAACTGATTTTTGTTACCCAACACATATAAAAAGAGTTAAAAGTACAATTATAATGACCAAATACCTACATGATACAAATCTTCGTGTGCTGTATACCATGAAAGCATCTTCATTGTCTAGGAGGGTAACATATCTAGTCTATCTGTAACAAAAACAAAAACTCTAAATCAGTATCAGCTTTAAATAGAGAATATTGGTTGTTGCAATTAATTCAAAATTAATATGATGCATTTTTGATGAAAAATCCTAATTTGAAGACAAGTATATAAACAATTTCTATACATTATCATTAAAATAATCTTCATAAGAGTATAAATTTGAATTGAAGAAATTTTAAATCAATTTGTTATCAAATCTAATTTAAGCTTCCAGGGAAAACTTATTTTTGTTACCTGCAAACCATATAAACATAGTTTAAAGTACAATTAAAAATACCAAATACCTACATGCTACGTATCCAGATGTGTGATCAATCTACCATGAAACCATCTTCATTGTCTAGGAGTGTAACATATTTCGGCTGTATCTATAACAAAACCAAATCATCAATTAGTATCAGCTTCAAATAGAGACTATTGGCTGTTGCAACAATTATAAAATAAATGTCACTCATATTTTATGTCAAATCCTAAATTGGACACAAGAATATTTAAAATTACTACGCATTCATGTTAAAATTTACTTCACTAGATTATAAATTTGAACAAAAGAAATATGTACACTAATTTGAAATAATATTTTATTTAAGCTGTTGTTCCCGAGAAAACTGATATTTATTACCCAACACATATAAACATAGTCTAAAGTACAATTGTAATGACTACCTACATGTTAAACATCCTAATGTGCATCTACCATGAAACCATATTCATTGGGTAGGAGTGGAACATATCTGGGCTGTATCTGTTACAAAAGAAAAAATTTAAATTAGCATCAGCTTTAGAGAATATTTAATGGCTGTTAAAAAAATTTAAAAATTAATGTGATTCATGTTTTATGTCAAATCTTAAATTACGGACAATTAATTTACAATTACTCTTTCATTCTTATTAAAATATACCACATTTGAAATTCGAATAAAAGATATTTTAGACCAATCTGTAATAAAATTTTAAGCTATTGTTTCAGTGAAAACAGATTTTTATTGACTTCCAAATATTAACATAGTTTTAAGTACAATTGTAATGACCAAATACTTACATGTTGACTCTTCCTATCTGCCATGAATCCATCTTCTCTGTCTAGGAGTGCAACATATTTAGATGTATCTTTAACAAAAACTATAAATTAATATCAGCTTTAAATACAGACTATTTGCTGTTGCAATTTTTTCAGAATTTAATCTTTGCATGTTGAAGAATATTTATAATTACTATACATTCCATTAAGAATATATTTCATTAGAGTATAAATTTGAAGAAATTTTTTTGAGACCAATTTGTAATAAAAGTTTCAAACTGGTTGATAATGAAATAGAGCCAGACAAAAAAACTAAATACATTTTACCATAAACACAATTTATCATACTATGTAATCAGCTCTGCTGGGGGATCTGCTTTTACGAGATTAGCGCCCATTAAATTCATCAATGTTATATCAAAATCTAAAGTTTGCTCTCTGCAGAGGTCTGCTTTTACGAGACCCATTTTAACATAAAGCATCTTTTTGTCAAACTGTTCAGGAAAAAACGGATTTTTATTACCTAACAAACATAAACATAGTTTTAAGAACAATTGTAATGACCAAATACCTACATGTGCAACATCCTAATGTGTGAAAGCATCTTTCATGGTATAGGAGTGTTACATATTAAGGCTGTATAATCTGTAACAAAAACAAAAATTATTAATTAGTTTACGCTTTAAATGCAGACTCTTTGCTGTTGCAATCAATTCAGAAAATAATGTGATGCATGTTTTATGTTAAATCCCGAAATAGAGAAAAGTATATAATTACAATTACTATACGTTCTTATTAAAATATTCAGCATTAAGAGTATAAATTTGAATGAAAGAAATTTTAGACCAATTTGTTATAAAGCTTCAATCTGTTGTTTCAGGAAAAAACTGATTTTTATTACCTAACAAATATAAATATAGTTTGAAGGAAAATTGTAATGACCAAATACCTACATGTGACTTATCCTAATGTGCATCTGCAATGGAAGCATCTTTCATGGTATAGGAGTCTTACATATTTAGGCTGTATCTGTAATGAAAACAAAAAAAATAAACATTAATTTCAGCTTTTAATCCAGACTTTTTGCTGTTGCAATCAATTCAGAAATTAATGTGATGCATGTTGTAATGTCAAATCCTTAATTGGAGACAAGAATTTTTACAATCACTATACATTCTTATTAAAATATATCTCATTACAGTGAATATTTCAATAAATGTAATGTAGGACCAATTTGTAATAAAATTTCAAGCTGTTGTTCCAGGAAAAACTGATTTTTATTACCTAACAAATATAAACATAGTTTTAAGAACAATTGTTATGAATAAAAACCTACATGTGACTAATCCTAATGTGCTATCTGCAATGGAAGCATCTTTCATGGTATAGGAGTCTTACATATTTAGGCAGTATCTGTAACAAAAACAAATATTTTTAATTAGTTTCAGCTTCAAAATCAAAGCTATTTACTGTTGCAATCAATTCAGAAATTAATGTGATGCATGTTTTATGTCAAATCCTAAATTGGAGACGTATATTTACAATAACTATACATTCTTATTAAAATATACTTCATTAGGATATAAATAGGAATAAAAGAAATTTTAGACCAATTTGTTATAAAGCTTCAATCTGTTGTTTCAGTGAAAACTGATTTTAATGCCTAACAAATACTAGAGGCTCCAAGGAGCCTGTGTCGCTCACCTGATATTTTTATTTACAATTGATGCATGAAATAATGCAACCGTTATACATTTGCTTTAGTTTCAGAGATACAAGTCAAAAACTGCATTTTCCCCCAAAGTTCTATTTTTAGCCATGTCTGACATGTTGGTTGGCAGGCAGGGTCATCGGACACATTTATTAAACTAGATACCCTAGTGATGATTGTGGCCAAGTTTGGTTAAATTTGTCTCAGTTGTTTCAGGAGAGAAGATTTTTGTAAAAGATTACAAAAATTTACGAATAATTGTTAAATTTGACTTTAAAGGGCAATAACTCCTTATGGGGTCAATTGACCATATTGGTCATGTTGACTTCTTTGTAGATCTGACTTTGCTGAACATAATGGCTGTTTACAGTTTATCTCCATCTATTAATAATATTCAAGATAACAAAAAACTGCAAAATTTCCTTAAAATTACTAATTCAGGGGCAGCAACCCAACAAAGGGTTGTCTGATTCATCTGAAAATTTCAGGGCAGATAGATCTTAACCTGATGAACATTTTTACCCAAGTCAGATTTGCTCTAAATGCTTAATTTCAGAGATATAAGCCAAAAACTGCATTTTACCCCTATGTTCTATTTTTAGCCATGTCGGCCATCTTGGTTGGCAGGCGGGGTCATCGGACACATTTTTAAAACTAGATACCCTAGTGATGATTGTGGCCAAGTTTGGTTAAATTTGGCCCAGTAGTTTCAGAGGAGATTTTTGTAAAAGTTAACGGACGACGACGGACGCCAAGTGATGAGAAAAGCTCACTTGGCCCTGTCAGGTGAGCTAATAAACCTAGTTTAAATAAAAAAATTGTAATGAATAAATACCTACATGTGACATCCTAATGTGCTATCTACAATGAAACCATTTTCATTGTCGAAGAGTGTAACATATTTAGGCGTTATCTGTAACAAAAACAAAAATTGTAAATTAGTATCAGCTTTAAATAGGGAATATTTGATGTTGCAATCAATTCAGAAATTAATGTGATGCATGTTTTATGTCAAATCCTAAATTGGAGACTAGAATATTTACAATTACTTAACTTATTACAGTAAATATTTGAATAAAAGAAATGTTCGACAAATTTGTAATAAAATTTTAAACTGTTGTTCAACGGGAAAACTGATTTTTGTTACCCAACACATATAAAAAGAGTTAAAAGTACAATTATAATGACCAAATACCTACATGATACAAATCTTCGTGTGCTGTATACCATGAAAGCATCTTCATTGTCTAGGAGGGTAACATATCTAGTCTATCTGTAACAAAAACAAAAACTCTAAATCAGTATCAGCTTTAAATAGAGAATATTGGTTGTTGCAATTAATTCAAAATTAATATGATGCATTTTTGATGAAAAATCCTAATTTGAAGACAAGTATATAAACAATTTCTATACATTATCATTAAAATAATCTTCATAAGAGTATAAATTTGAATTGAAGAAATTTTAAATCAATTTGTTATCAAATCTAATTTAAGCTTCCAGGGAAAACTTATTTTTGTTACCTGCAAACCATATAAACATAGTTTAAAGTACAATTAAAAATACCAAATACCTACATGCTACGTATCCAGATGTGTGATCAATCTACCATGAAACCATCTTCATTGTCTAGGAGTGTAACATATTTCGGCTGTATCTATAACAAAACCAAATCATCAATTAGTATCAGCTTCAAATAGAGACTATTGGCTGTTGCAACAATTATAAAATAAATGTCACTCATATTTTATGTCAAATCCTAAATTGGACACAAGAATATTTAAAATTACTACGCATTCATGTTAAAATTTACTTCACTAGATTATAAATTTGAACAAAAGAAATATGTACACTAAGTTGAAATAATATTTTATTTAAGCTGTTGTTCCCGAGAAAACTGATATTTATTACCCAACACATATAAACATAGTCTAAAGTACAATTGTAATGACTACCTACATGTTAAACATCCTAATGTGCATCTACCATGAAACCATATTCATTGGGTAGGAGTGGAACATATCTGGGCTGTATCTGTTACAAAAGAAAAAATTTAAATTAGCATCAGCTTTAGAGAATATTTAATGGCTGTTAAAAAAATTTAAAAATTAATGTGATTCATGTTTTATGTCAAATCTTAAATTACGGACAATTAATTTACAATTACTCTTTCATTCTTATTAAAATATACCACATTTGAAATTCGAATAAAAGATATTTTAGACCAATCTGTAATAAAATTTTAAGCTATTGTTTCAGTGAAAACAGATTTTTATTGACTTCCAAATATTAACATAGTTTTAAGTACAATTGTAATGACCAAATACTTACATGTTGACTCTTCCTATCTGCCATGAATCCATCTTCTCTGTCTAGGAGTGCAACATATTTAGATGTATCTTTAACAAAAACTATAAATTAATATCAGCTTTAAATACAGACTATTTGCTGTTGCAATTTTTTCAGAATTTAATCTTTGCATGTTGGAGAAGAATATTTATAATTACTATACATTCCATTAAGAATATATTTCATTAGAGTATAAATTTGAAGAAATTTTTTTGAGACCAATTTGTAATAAAGTTTCAAATTGGTTGATAATGAAATAGAGCCAGACAAAAAAACTAAATACATTTTACCATAAACACAAGTTATCATACTATGTAATCAGCTCTGCTGGGGAATCTGCTTTTACGAGATTAGCGCCCATTAAATTCATCAATGTTATATCAAAATCTAAAGTTTGCTCTCTGCAGAGGTCTGCTTTTACGAGACCCATTTTAACATAAAGCATCTTTTTGTCAAACTGTTCAGGAAAAAACGGATTTTTATTACCTAACAAACATAAACATAGTTTTAAGAACAATTGTAATGACCAAATACCTACATGTGCAACATCCTAATGTGTGAAAGCATCTTTCATGGTATAGGAGTGTTACATATTAAGGCTGTATAATCTGTAACAAAAACAAAAATTATTAATTAGTTTACGCTTTATATCCAGACTCTTTGCTGTTGCAATCAATTCAGAAAATAATGTGATGCATGTTTTATGTTAAATCCCAAAATAGAGAAAAGTATATAATTACAATTACTATACGTTCTTATTAAAATATTCAGCATTAAGAGTATAAATTTGAATGAAAGAAATTTTAGACCAATTTGTTATAAAGCTTCAATCTGTTGTTTCAGGAAAAAACTGATTTTTATTACCTAACAAATATAAATATAGTTTGAAGGAAAATTGTAATGACCAAATACCTACATGTGACTTATCCTAATGTGCATCTGCAATGGAAGCATCTTTCATGGTATAGGAGTCTTACATATTTAGGCTGTATCTGTAATGAAAACAAAAAAAATAAACATTAATTTCAGCTTTTAATCCAGACTTTTTGCTGTTGCAATCAATTCAGAAATTAATGTGATGCATGTTGTAATGTCAAATCCTTAATTGGAGACAAGAATTTTTACAATCACTATACATTCTTATTAAAATATATCTCATTACAGTGAATATTTCAATAAATGTAATGTAGGACCAATTTGTAATGAAATTTCAAGCTGTTGTTCCAGGAAAAACTGATTTTTATTACCTAACAAATATAAACATAGTTTTAAGAACAATTGTTATGAATAAAAACCTACATGTGACTAATCCTAATGTGCTATCTGCAATGGAAGCATCTTTCATGGTATAGGAGTCTTACATATTTAGGCAGTATCTGTAACAAAAACAAATATTTTTAATTAGTTTCAGCTTCAAAATCAAAGCTATTTGCTGTTGCAATCAATTCAGAAATTAATGTGATGCATGTTTTATGTCAAATCCTAAATTGGAGACGTATATTTACAATAACTATACATTCTTATTAAAATATACTTCAATAGGATATAAATAGGAATAAAAGAAATTTTAGACCAATTTGTTATAAAGCTTCAATCTGTTGTTTCAGTGAAAACTGATTTTAATGCCTAACAAATACTAGAGGCTCCAAGGAGCCTGTGTCGCTCACCTGATATTTTTATTTACAATTGATGCATGAAATAATGCAACCGTTATACATTTGCTTTAGTTTCAGAGATACAAGTCAAAAACTGCATTTTCCCCCAAAGTTCTATTTTTAGCCATGTCTGACATGTTGGTTGGCAGGCAGGGTCATCGGACACATTTATTAAACTAGATACCCTAGTGATGATTGTGGCCAAGTTTGGTTAAATTTGTCTCAGTTGTTTCAGGAGAGAAGATTTTTGTAAAAGATTACAAAAATTTACGAATAATTGTTAAATTTGACTTTAAAGGGCAATAACTCCTTATGGGGTATATTGGTCATGTTGACTTCTTTGTAGATCTGACTTTGCTGAACATAATGGCTGTTTACAGTTTATCTCCATCTATAATAATATTCAAGATAACAAAAAACTGCAAAATTTCCTTAAAATTACTAATTCAGGGGCAGCAACCCAACAAAGGGTTGTCTGATTCATCTGAAAATTTCAGGGCAGATAGATCTTAACCTGATGAACATTTATACCCATAGTCAGATTTGCTCTAAATGCTTTAGTTTCAGAGATATAAGCCAAAAACTGCATTTTACCCCTATGTTCTATTTTTAGCCATGTCGGCCATCTTGGTTGGCAGGCGGGGTCACCGGACACATTTTTAAAACTAAATACCCTAGTGATGATTGTGGCCTAGTTTGGTTAAATTTGGCCCAGTAGTTTCAGAGGAAATTTTTGTAAAAGTTAACGGACGACGACGGACGCCAAGTGATGAGAAAAGCTCACTTGGCCCTGTCAGGTGAGCTAATAAACCTAGTTTAAATAAAAAAATTGTAATGAATAAATACCTACATGTGACATCCTAATGTGCTATCTACAATGAAACCATTTTCATTGTCGAAGAGTGTAACATATTTAGGCGTTATCTGTAACAAAAACAAAAATTGTAAATTAGTATCAGCTTTAAATAGGGAATATTTGATGTTGCAATCAATTCAGAAATTAATGTGATGCATGTTTTATGTCAAATCCTAAATTGGAGACTAGAATATTTACAATTACTTAACTTATTACAGTAAATATTTGAATAAAAGAAATGTTCCGACAAATTTGTAATAAAATTTTAAACTGTTGTTCAACGGGAAAACTGATTTTTGTTACCCAACACATATAAAAAGAGTTAAAAGTACAATTATAATGACCAAATACCTACATGATACAAATCTTCGTGTGCTGTATACCATGAAAGCATCTTCATTGTCTAGGAGGGTAACATATCTAGTCTATCTGTAACAAAAACAAAAACTCTAAATCAGTATCAGCTTTAAATAGAGAATATTGGTTGTTGCAATTAATTCAAAATTAATATGATGCATTTTTGATGAAAAATCCTAATTTGAAGACAAGTATATAAACAATTTCTATACATTATCATTAAAATAATCTTCATAAGAGTATAAATTTGAATTGAAGAAATTTTAAATCAATTTGTTATCAAATCTAATTTAAGCTTCCAGGGAAAACTTATTTTTGTTACCTGCAAACCATATAAACATAGTTTAAAGTACAATTAAAAATACCAAATACCTACATGCTACGTATCCAGATGTGTGATCAATCTACCATGAAACCATCTTCATTGTCAGGAGTGTAACATATTTCGGCTGTATCTATAACAAAACCAAATCATCAATTAGTATCAGCTTCAAATAGAGACTATTGGCTGTTGCAACAATTATAAAATAAATGTCACTCATATTTTATGTCAAATCCTAAATTGGACACAAGAATATTTAAAATTACTACGCATTCATGTTAAAATTTACTTCACTAGATTATAAATTTGAACAAAAGAAATATGTACACTAAGTTGAAATAATATTTTATTTAAGCTGTTGTTCCCGAGAAAACTGATATTTATTACCCAACACATATAAACATAGTCTAAAGTACAATTGTAATGACTACCTACATGTTAAACATCCTAATGTGCATCTACCATGAAACCATATTCATTGGGTAGGAGTGGAACATATCTGGGCTGTATCTGTTACAAAAGAAAAAATTTAAATTAGCATCAGCTTTAGAGAATATTTAATGGCTGTTAAAAAAATTTAAAAATTAATGTGATTCATGTTTTAAGTCAAATCTTAAATTACGGACAATTAATTTACAATTACTCTTTCATTCTTATTAAAATATACCACATTTGAAATTCGAATAAGAGATATTTTAGACCAATCTGTAATAAAATTTTAAGCTATTGTTTCAGTGAAAACAGATTTTTATTGACTTCCAAATATTAACATAGTTTTAAGTACAATTGTAATGACCAAATACTTACATGTTGACTCTTCCTATCTGCCATGAATCCATCTTCTCTGTCTAGGAGTGCAACATATTTAGATGTATCTTTAACAAAAACTATAAATTAATATCAGCTTTAAATACAGACTATTTGCTGTTGCAATTTTTTCAGAATTTAATCTTTGCATGTTGGAGAAGAATATTTATAATTACTATACATTCCATTAAGAATATATTTCATTAGAGTATAAATTTGAAGAAATTTTTTTGAGACCAATTTGTAATAAAGTTTCAAATTGGTTGATAATGAAATAGAGCCAGACAAAAAAACTAAATACATTTTACCATAAACACAAGTTATCATACTATGTAATCAGCTCTGCTGGGGAATCTGCTTTTACGAGATTAGCGCCCATTAAATTCATCAATGTTATATCAAAATCTAAAGTTTGCTCTCTGCAGAGGTCTGCTTTTACGAGACCCATTTTAACATAAAGCATCTTTTTGTCAAACTGTTCAGGAAAAAACGGATTTTTATTACCTAACAAACATAAACATAGTTTTAAGAACAATTGTAATGACCAAATACCTACATGTGCAACATCCTAATGTGTGAAAGCATCTTTCATGGTATAGGAGTGTTACATATTAAGGCTGTATAATCTGTAACAAAAACAAAAATTATTAATTAGTTTACGCTTTATATCCAGACTCTTTGCTGTTGCAATCAATTCAGAAAATAATGTGATGCATGTTTTATGTTAAATCCCAAAATAGAGAAAAGTATATAATTACAATTACTATACGTTCTTATTAAAATATTCAGCATTAAGAGTATAAATTTGAATGAAAGAAATTTTAGACCAATTTGTTATAAAGCTTCAATCTGTTGTTTCAGGAAAAAACTGATTTTTATTACCTAACAAATATAAATATAGTTTGAAGGAAAATTGTAATGACCAAATACCTACATGTGACTTATCCTAATGTGCATCTGCAATGGAAGCATCTTTCATGGTATAGGAGTCTTACATATTTAGGCTGTATCTGTAATGAAAACAAAAAAAATAAACATTAATTTCAGCTTTTAATCCAGACTTTTTGCTGTTGCAATCAATTCAGAAATTAATGTGATGCATGTTGTAATGTCAAATCCTTAATTGGAGACAAGAATTTTTACAATCACTATACATTCTTATTAAAATATATCTCATTACAGTGAATATTTCAATAAATGTAATGTAGGACCAATTTGTAATGAAATTTCAAGCTGTTGTTCCAGGAAAAACTGATTTTTATTACCTAACAAATATAAACATAGTTTTAAGAACAATTGTTATGAATAAAAACCTACATGTGACTAATCCTAATGTGCTATCTGCAATGGAAGCATCTTTCATGGTATAGGAGTCTTACATATTTAGGCAGTATCTGTAACAAAAACAAATATTTTTAATTAGTTTCAGCTTCAAAATCAAAGCTATTTGCTGTTGCAATCAATTCAGAAATTAATGTGATGCATGTTTTATGTCAAATCCTAAATTGGAGACGTATATTTACAATAACTATACATTCTTATTAAAATATACTTCAATAGGATATAAATAGGAATAAAAGAAATTTTAGACCAATTTGTTATAAAGCTTCAATCTGTTGTTTCAGTGAAAACTGATTTTAATGCCTAACAAATACTAGAGGCTCCAAGGAGCCTGTGTCGCTCACCTGATATTTTTATTTACAATTGATGCATGAAATAATGCAACCGTTATACATTTGCTTTAGTTTCAGAGATACAAGTCAAAAACTGCATTTTCCCCCAAAGTTCTATTTTTAGCCATGTCTGACATGTTGGTTGGCAGGCAGGGTCATCGGACACATTTATTAAACTAGATACCCTAGTGATGATTGTGGCCAAGTTTGGTTAAATTTGTCTCAGTTGTTTCAGGAGAGAAGATTTTTGTAAAAGATTACAAAAATTTACGAATAATTGTTAAATTTGACTTTAAAGGGCAATAACTCCTTATGGGGTATATTGGTCATGTTGACTTCTTTGTAGATCTGACTTTGCTGAACATAATGGCTGTTTACAGTTTATCTCCATCTATAATAATATTCAAGATAACAAAAAACTGCAAAATTTCCTTAAAATTACTAATTCAGGGGCAGCAACCCAACAAAGGGTTGTCTGATTCATCTGAAAATTTCAGGGCAGATAGATCTTAACCTGATGAACATTTATACCCATAGTCAGATTTGCTCTAAATGCTTTAGTTTCAGAGATATAAGCCAAAAACTGCATTTTACCCCTATGTTCTATTTTTAGCCATGTCGGCCATCTTGGTTGGCAGGCGGGGTCACCGGACACATTTTTAAAACTAAATACCCTAGTGATGATTGTGGCCTAGTTTGGTTAAATTTGGCCCAGTAGTTTCAGAGGAAATTTTTGTAAAAGTTAACGGACGACGACGGACGCCAAGTGATGAGAAAAGCTCACTTGGCCCTGTCAGGTGAGCTAATAAACCTAGTTTAAATAAAAAAATTGTAATGAATAAATACCTACATGTGACATCCTAATGTGCTATCTACAATGAAACCATTTTCATTGTCGAAGAGTGTAACATATTTAGGCGTTATCTGTAACAAAAACAAAAATTGTAAATTAGTATCAGCTTTAAATAGGGAATATTTGATGTTGCAATCAATTCAGAAATTAATGTGATGCATGTTTTATGTCAAATCCTAAATTGGAGACTAGAATATTTACAATTACTTAACTTATTACAGTAAATATTTGAATAAAAGAAATGTTCCGACAAATTTGTAATAAAATTTTAAACTGTTGTTCAACGGGAAAACTGATTTTTGTTACCCAACACATATAAAAAGAGTTAAAAGTACAATTATAATGACCAAATACCTACATGATACAAATCTTCGTGTGCTGTATACCATGAAAGCATCTTCATTGTCTAGGAGGGTAAAATATCTAGTCTATCTGTAACAAAAACAAAAACTCTAAATCAGTATCAGCTTTAAATAGAGAATATTGGTTGTTGCAATTAATTCAAAATTAATATGATGCATTTTTGATGAAAAATCCTAATTTGAAGACAAGTATATAAACAATTTCTATACATTATCATTAAAATAATCTTCATAAGAGTATAAATTTGAATTGAAGAAATTTTAAATCAATTTGTTATCAAATCTAATTTAAGCTTCCAGGGAAAACTTATTTTTGTTACCTGCAAACCATATAAACATAGTTTAAAGTACAATTAAAAATACCAAATACCTACATGCTACGTATCCAGATGTGTGATCAATCTACCATGAAACCATCTTCATTGTCAGGAGTGTAACATATTTCGGCTGTATCTATAACAAAACCAAATCATCAATTAGTATCAGCTTCAAATAGAGACTATTGGCTGTTGCAACAATTATAAAATAAATGTCACTCATATTTTATGTCAAATCCTAAATTGGACACAAGAATATTTAAAATTACTACGCATTCATGTTAAAATTTACTTCACTAGATTATAAATTTGAACAAAAGAAATATGTACACTAAGTTGAAATAATATTTTATTTAAGCTGTTGTTCCCGAGAAAACTGATATTTATTACCCAACACATATAAACATAGTCTAAAGTACAATTGTAATGACTACCTACATGTTAAACATCCTAATGTGCATCTACCATGAAACCATATTCATTGGGTAGGAGTGGAACATATCTGGGCTGTATCTGTTACAAAAGAAAAAATTTAAATTAGCATCAGCTTTAGAGAATATTTAATGGCTGTTAAAAAAATTTAAAAATTAATGTGATTCATGTTTTAAGTCAAATCTTAAATTACGGACAATTAATTTACAATTACTCTTTCATTCTTATTAAAATATACCACATTTGAAATTCGAATAAGAGATATTTTAGACCAATCTGTAATAAAATTTTAAGCTATTGTTTCAGTGAAAACAGATTTTTATTGACTTCCAAATATTAACATAGTTTTAAGTACAATTGTAATGACCAAATACTTACATGTTGACTCTTCCTATCTGCCATGAATCCATCTTCTCTGTCTAGGAGTGCAACATATTTAGATGTATCTTTAACAAAAACTATAAATTAATATCAGCTTTAAATACAGACTATTTGCTGTTGCAATTTTTTCAGAATTTAATCTTTGCATGTTGGAGAAGAATATTTATAATTACTATACATTCCATTAAGAATATATTTCATTAGAGTATAAATTTGAAGAAATTTTTTTGAGACCAATTTGTAATAAAGTTTCAAATTGGTTGATAATGAAATAGAGCCAGACAAAAAAACTAAATACATTTTACCATAAACACAAGTTATCATACTATGTAATCAGCTCTGCTGGGGAATCTGCTTTTACGAGATTAGCGCCCATTAAATTCATCAATGTTATATCAAAATCTAAAGTTTGCTCTCTGCAGAGGTCTGCTTTTACGAGACCCATTTTAACATAAAGCATCTTTTTGTCAAACTGTTCAGGAAAAAACGGATTTTTATTACCTAACAAACATAAACATAGTTTTAAGAACAATTGTAATGACCAAATACCTACATGTGCAACATCCTAATGTGTGAAAGCATCTTTCATGGTATAGGAGTGTTACATATTAAGGCTGTATAATCTGTAACAAAAACAAAAATTATTAATTAGTTTACGCTTTATATCCAGACTCTTTGCTGTTGCAATCAATTCAGAAAATAATGTGATGCATGTTTTATGTTAAATCCCAAAATAGAGAAAAGTATATAATTACAATTACTATACGTTCTTATTAAAATATTCAGCATTAAGAGTATAAATTTGAATGAAAGAAATTTTAGACCAATTTGTTATAAAGCTTCAATCTGTTGTTTCAGGAAAAAACTGATTTTTATTACCTAACAAATATAAATATAGTTTGAAGGAAAATTGTAATGACCAAATACCTACATGTGACTTATCCTAATGTGCATCTGCAATGGAAGCATCTTTCATGGTATAGGAGTCTTACATATTTAGGCTGTATCTGTAATGAAAACAAAAAAAATAAACATTAATTTCAGCTTTTAATCCAGACTTTTTGCTGTTGCAATCAATTCAGAAATTAATGTGATGCATGTTGTAATGTCAAATCCTTAATTGGAGACAAGAATTTTTACAATCACTATACATTCTTATTAAAATATATCTCATTACAGTGAATATTTCAATAAATGTAATGTAGGACCAATTTGTAATGAAATTTCAAGCTGTTGTTCCAGGAAAAACTGATTTTTATTACCTAACAAATATAAACATAGTTTTAAGAACAATTGTTATGAATAAAAACCTACATGTGACTAATCCTAATGTGCTATCTGCAATGGAAGCATCTTTCATGGTATAGGAGTCTTACATATTTAGGCAGTATCTGTAACAAAAACAAATATTTTTAATTAGTTTCAGCTTCAAAATCAAAGCTATTTGCTGTTGCAATCAATTCAGAAATTAATGTGATGCATGTTTTATGTCAAATCCTAAATTGGAGACGTATATTTACAATAACTATACATTCTTATTAAAATATACTTCAATAGGATATAAATAGGAATAAAAGAAATTTTAGACCAATTTGTTATAAAGCTTCAATCTGTTGTTTCAGTGAAAACTGATTTTAATGCCTAACAAATACTAGAGGCTCCAAGGAGCCTGTGTCGCTCACCTGATATTTTTATTTACAATTGATGCATGAAATAATGCAACCGTTATACATTTGCTTTAGTTTCAGAGATACAAGTCAAAAACTGCATTTTCCCCCAAAGTTCTATTTTTAGCCATGTCTGACATGTTGGTTGGCAGGCAGGGTCATCGGACACATTTATTAAACTAGATACCCTAGTGATGATTGTGGCCAAGTTTGGTTAAATTTGTCTCAGTTGTTTCAGGAGAGAAGATTTTTGTAAAAGATTACAAAAATTTACGAATAATTGTTAAATTTGACTTTAAAGGGCAATAACTCCTTATGGGGTATATTGGTCATGTTGACTTCTTTGTAGATCTGACTTTGCTGAACATAATGGCTGTTTACAGTTTATCTCCATCTATAATAATATTCAAGATAACAAAAAACTGCAAAATTTCCTTAAAATTACTAATTCAGGGGCAGCAACCCAACAAAGGGTTGTCTGATTCATCTGAAAATTTCAGGGCAGATAGATCTTAACCTGATGAACATTTATACCCATAGTCAGATTTGCTCTAAATGCTTTAGTTTCAGAGATATAAGCCAAAAACTGCATTTTACCCCTATGTTCTATTTTTAGCCATGTCGGCCATCTTGGTTGGCAGGCGGGGTCACCGGACACATTTTTAAAACTAAATACCCTAGTGATGATTGTGGCCTAGTTTGGTTAAATTTGGCCCAGTAGTTTCAGAGGAAATTTTTGTAAAAGTTAACGGACGACGACGGACGCCAAGTGATGAGAAAAGCTCACTTGGCCCTGTCAGGTGAGCTAATAAACCTAGTTTAAATAAAAAAATTGTAATGAATAAATACCTACATGTGACATCCTAATGTGCTATCTACAATGAAACCATTTTCATTGTCGAAGAGTGTAACATATTTAGGCGTTATCTGTAACAAAAACAAAAATTGTAAATTAGTATCAGCTTTAAATAGGGAATATTTGATGTTGCAATCAATTCAGAAATTAATGTGATGCATGTTTTATGTCAAATCCTAAATTGGAGACTAGAATATTTACAATTACTTAACTTATTACAGTAAATATTTGAATAAAAGAAATGTTCCGACAAATTTGTAATAAAATTTTAAACTGTTGTTCAACGGGAAAACTGATTTTTGTTACCCAACACATATAAAAAGAGTTAAAAGTACAATTATAATGACCAAATACCTACATGATACAAATCTTCGTGTGCTGTATACCATGAAAGCATCTTCATTGTCTAGGAGGGTAACATATCTAGTCTATCTGTAACAAAAACAAAAACTCTAAATCAGTATCAGCTTTAAATAGAGAATATTGGTTGTTGCAATTAATTCAAAATTAATATGATGCATTTTTGATGAAAAATCCTAATTTGAAGACAAGTATATAAACAATTTCTATACATTATCATTAAAATAATCTTCATAAGAGAATAAATTTGAATTGAAGAAATTTTAAATCAATTTGTTATCAAATCTAATTTAAGCTTCCAGGGAAAACTTATTTTTGTTACCTGCAAACCATATAAACATAGTTTAAAGTACAATTAAAAATACCAAATACCTACATGCTACGTATCCAGATGTGTGATCAATCTACCATGAAACCATCTTCATTGTCTAGGAGTGTAACATATTTCGGCTGTATCTATAACAAAACCAAATCATCAATTAGTATCAGCTTCAAATAGAGACTATTGGCTGTTGCAACAATTATAAAACAAATGTCACTCATATTTTATGTCAAATCCTAAATTGGACACAAGAATATTTAAAATTACTACGCATTCATGTTAAAATTTACTTCACTAGATTATAAATTTGAACAAAAGAAATATGTACACTAATTTGAAATAATATTTTATTTAAGCTGTTGTTCCCGAGAAAACTGATATTTATTACCCAACACATATAAACATAGTCTAAAGTACAATTGTAATGACTACCTACATGTTAAACATCCTAATGTGCATCTACCATGAAACCATATTCAGTGGGTAGGAGTGGAACATATCTGGGCTGTATCTGTTACAAAAGAAAAAATTTAAATTAGCATCAGCTTTAGAGAATATTTAATGGCTGTTAAAAAAATTTAAAAATTAATGTGATTCATGTTTTATGTCAAATCTTAAATTACGGACAATTAATTTACAATTACTCTTTCATTCTTATTAAAATATACCACATTTGAAATTCGAATAAAAGATATTTTAGACCAATCTGTAATAAAATTTTAAGCTATTGTTTCAGTGAAAACAGATTTTTATTGACTTCCAAATATTAACATAGTTTTAAGTACAATTGTAATGACCAAATACTTACATGTTGACTCTTCCTATCTGCCATGAATCCATCTTCTCTGTCTAGGAGTGCAACATATTTAGATGTATCTTTAACAAAAACTATAAATTAATATCAGCTTTAAATACAGACTATTTGCTGTTGCAATTTTTTCAGAATTTAATCTTTGCATGTTGGAGAAGAATATTTATAATTACTATACATTCCATTAAGAATATATTTCATTAGAGTATAAATTTGAAGAAATTTTTTTGAGACCAATTTGTAATAAAGTTTCAAATTGGTTGATAATGAAATAGAGCCAGACAAAAAAACTAAATACATTTTACCATAAACACAAGTTATCATACTATGTAATCAGCTCTGCTGGGGAATCTGCTTTTACGAGATTAGCGCCCATTAAATTCATCAATGTTATATCAAAATCTAAAGTTTGCTCTCTGCAGAGGTCTGCTTTTACGAGACCCATTTTAACATAAAGCATCTTTTTGTCAAACTGTTCAGGAAAAAACGGATTTTTATTACCTAACAAACATAAACATAGTTTTAAGAACAATTGTAATGACCAAATACCTACATGTGCAACATCCTAATGTGTGAAAGCATCTTTCATGGTATAGGAGTGTTACATATTAAGGCTGTATAATCTGTAACAAAAACAAAAATTATTAATTAGTTTACGCTTTATATCCAGACTCTTTGCTGTTGCAATCAATTCAGAAAATAATGTGATGCATGTTTTATGTTAAATCCCAAAATAGAGAAAAGTATATAATTACAATTACTATACGTTCTTATTAAAATATTCAGCATTAAGAGTATAAATTTGAATGAAAGAAATTTTAGACCAATTTGTTATAAAGCTTCAATCTGTTGTTTCAGGAAAAAACTGATTTTTATTACCTAACAAATATAAATATAGTTTGAAGGAAAATTGTAATGACCAAATACCTACATGTGACTTATCCTAATGTGCATCTGCAATGGAAGCATCTTTCATGGTATAGGAGTCTTACATATTTAGGCTGTATCTGTAATGAAAACAAAAAAAATAAACATTAATTTCAGCTTTTAATCCAGACTTTTTGCTGTTGCAATCAATTCAGAAATTAATGTGATGCATGTTGTAATGTCAAATCCTTAATTGGAGACAAGAATTTTTACAATCACTATACATTCTTATTAAAATATATCTCATTACAGTGAATATTTCAATAAATGTAATGTAGGACCAATTTGTAATGAAATTTCAAGCTGTTGTTCCAGGAAAAACTGATTTTTATTACCTAACAAATATAAACATAGTTTTAAGAACAATTGTTATGAATAAAAACCTACATGTGACTAATCCTAATGTGCTATCTGCAATGGAAGCATCTTTCATGGTATAGGAGTCTTACATATTTAGGCAGTATCTGTAACAAAAACAAATATTTTTAATTAGTTTCAGCTTCAAAATCAAAGCTATTTGCTGTTGCAATCAATTCAGAAATTAATGTGATGCATGTTTTATGTCAAATCCTAAATTGGAGACGTATATTTACAATAACTATACATTCTTATTAAAATATACTTCAATAGGATATAAATAGGAATAAAAGAAATTTTAGACCAATTTGTTATAAAGCTTCAATCTGTTGTTTCAGTGAAAACTGATTTTAATGCCTAACAAATACTAGAGGCTCCAAGGAGCCTGTGTCGCTCACCTGATATTTTTATTTACAATTGATGCATGAAATAATGCAACCGTTATACATTTGCTTTAGTTTCAGAGATACAAGTCAAAAACTGCATTTTCCCCCAAAGTTCTATTTTTAGCCATGTCTGACATGTTGGTTGGCAGGCAGGGTCATCGGACACATTTATTAAACTAGATACCCTAGTGATGATTGTGGCCAAGTTTGGTTAAATTTGTCTCAGTTGTTTCAGGAGAGAAGATTTTTGTAAAAGATTACAAAAATTTACGAATAATTGTTAAATTTGACTTTAAAGGGCAATAACTCCTTATGGGGTATATTGGTCATGTTGACTTCTTTGTAGATCTGACTTTGCTGAACATAATGGCTGTTTACAGTTTATCTCCATCTATAATAATATTCAAGATAACAAAAAACTGCAAAATTTCCTTAAAATTACTAATTCAGGGGCAGCAACCCAACAAAGGGTTGTCTGATTCATCTGAAAATTTCAGGGCAGATAGATCTTAACCTGATGAACATTTTTACCCATAGTCAGATTTGCTCTAAATGCTTTAGTTTCAGAGATATAAGCCAAAAACTGCATTTTACCCCTATGTTCTATTTTTAGCCATGTCGGCCATCTTGGTTGGCAGGCGGGGTCACCGGACACATTTTTAAAAGTTTGGTTAAATTTGGCCCAGTAGTTTCAGAGGAAATTTTTGTAAAAGTTAACGGACGACGACGGACACCAAGTGATGAGAAAAGCTCACTTGGCCCTGTCAGGTGAGCTAATAAACCTAGTTTAAATAAAAAAATTGTAATGAATAAATACCTACATGTGACATCCTAATGTGCTATCTACAATGAAACCATTTTCATTGTCGAAGAGTGTAACATATTTAGGCGTTATCTGTAACAAAAACAAAAATTGTAAATTAGTATCAGCTTTAAATAGGGAATATTTGATGTTGCAATCAATTCAGAAATTAATGTGATGCATGTTTTATGTCAAATCCTAAATTGGAGACTAGAATATTTACAATTACTTAACTTTTTACAGTAAATATTTGAATAAAAGAAATGTTCCGACAAATTTGTAATAAAATTTTAAACTGTTGTTCAACGGGAAAACTGATTTTTGTTACCCAACACATATAAAAAGAGTTAAAAGTACAATTATAATGACCAAATACCTACATGATACAAATCTTCGTGTGCTGTATACCATGAAAGCATCTTCATTGTCTAGGAGGGTAACATATCTAGTCTATCTGTAACAAAAACAAAAACTCTAAATCAGTATCAGCTTTAAATAGAGAATATTGGTTGTTGCAATTAATTCAAAATTAATATGATGCATTTTTGATGAAAAATCCTAATTTGAAGACAAGTATATAAACAATTTCTATACATTATCATTAAAATAATCTTCATAAGAGTATAAATTTGAATTGAAGAAATTTTAAATCAATTTGTTATCAAATCTAATTTAAGCTTCCAGGGAAAACTTATTTTTGTTACCTGCAAACCATATAAACATAGTTTAAAGTACAATTAAAAATACCAAATACCTACATGCTACGTATCCAGATGTGTGATCAATCTACCATGAAACCATCTTCATTGTCTAGGAGTGTAACATATTTCGGCTGTATCTATAACAAAACCAAATCATCAATTAGTATCAGCTTCAAATAGAGACTATTGGCTGTTGCAACAATTATAAAATAAATGTCACTCATATTTTATGTCAAATCCTAAATTGGACACAAGAATATTTAAAATTACTACGCATTCATGTTAAAATTTACTTCACTAGATTATAAATTTGAACAAAAGAAATATGTACACTAAGTTGAAATAATATTTTATTTAAGCTGTTGTTCCCGAGAAAACTGATATTTATTACCCAACACATATAAACATAGTCTAAAGTACAATTGTAATGACTACCTACATGTTAAACATCCTAATGTGCATCTACCATGAAACCATATTCATTGGGTAGGAGTGGAACATATCTGGGCTGTATCTGTTACAAAAGAAAAAATTTAAATTAGCATCAGCTTTAGAGAATATTTAATGGCTGTTAAAAAAATTTAAAAATTAATGTGATTCATGTTTTATGTCAAATCTTAATTTACGGACAATTAATTTACAATTACTCTTTCATTCTTATTAAAATATACCACATTTGAAATTCGAATAAAAGATATTTTAGACCAATCTGTAATAAAATTTTAAGCTATTGTTTCAGTGAAAACAGATTTTTATTGACTTCCAAATATTAACATAGTTTTAAGTACAATTGTAATGACCAAATACTTACATGTTGACTCTTCCTATCTGCCATGAATCCATCTTCTCTGTCTAGGAGTGCAACATATTTAGATGTATCTTTAACAAAAACTATAAATTAATATCAGCTTTAAATACAGACTATTTGCTGTTGCAATTTTTTCAGAATTTAATCTTTGCATGTTGGAGAAGAATATTTATAATTACTATACATTCCATTAAGAATATATTTCATTAGAGTATAAATTTGAAGAAATTTTTTTGAGACCAATTTGTAATAAAGTTTCAAATTGGTTGATAATGAAATAGAGCCAGACAAAAAAACTAAATACATTTTACCATAAACACAAGTTATCATACTATGTAATCAGCTCTGCTGGGGAATCTGCTTTTACGAGATTAGCGCCCATTAAATTCATCAATGTTATATCAAAATCTAAAGTTTGCTCTCTGCAGAGGTCTGCTTTTACGAGACCCATTTTAACATAAAGCATCTTTTTGTCAAACTGTTCAGGAAAAAACGGATTTTTATTACCTAACAAACATAAACATAGTTTTAAGAACAATTGTAATGACCAAATACCTACATGTGCAACATCCTAATGTGTGAAAGCATCTTTCATGGTATAGGAGTGTTACATATTAAGGCTGTATAATCTGTAACAAAAACAAAAATTATTAATTAGTTTACGCTTTATATCCAGACTCTTTGCTGTTGCAATCAATTCAGAAAATAATGTGATGCATGTTTTATGTTAAATCCCAAAATAGAGAAAAGTATATAATTACAATTACTATACGTTCTTATTAAAATATTCAGCATTAAGAGTATAAATTTTAATGAAAGAAATTTTAGACCAAATTGTTATAAAGCTTCAATCTGTTGTTTCAGGAAAAAACTGATTTTTATTACCTAACAAATATAAATATAGTTTGAAGGAAAATTGTAATGACCAAATACCTACATGTGACTTATCCTAATGTGCATCTGCAATGGAAGCATCTTTCATGGTATAGGAGTCTTACATATTTAGGCTGTATCTGTAATGAAAACAAAAAAAATAAACATTAATTTCAGCTTTTAATCCAGACTTTTTGCTGTTGTAATCAATTCAGAAATTAATGTGATGCATGTTGTAATGTCAAATCCTTAATTGGAGACAAGAATTTTTACAATCACTATACATTCTTATTAAAATATATCTCATTACAGTGAATATTTCAATAAATGTAATGTAGGACCAATTTGTAATAAAATTTCAAGCTGTTGTTCCAGGAAAAACTGATTTTTATTACCTAACAAATATAAACATAGTTTTAAGAACAATTGTTATGAATAAAAACCTACATGTGACTTATCCTAATGTGCTATCTGCAATGGAAGCATCTTTCATGGTATAGGAGTCTTACATATTTAGGCAGTATCTGTAACAAAAACAAATATTTTAAATTAGTTTCAGCTTCAAAATCAAAGCTATTTGCTGTTGCAATCAATTCAGAAATTAATGTGATGCATGTTTTATGTCAAATCCTAAATTGGAGACGTATATTTACAATAACTATACATTCTTATTAAAATATACTTCATTAGGATATAAATAGGAATAAAAGAAATTTTAGACCAATTTGTTATAAAGCTTCAATCTGTTGTTTCAGTGAAAACTGATTTTAATGCCCAACAAATACTAGAGGCTCCAAGGAGCCTGTGTCGCTCACCTGATATTTTTATTTACAATTGATGCATGAAATAATGCAACCGTTATACATTTGCTTTAGTTTCAGAGATACAAGTCAAAAACTGCATTTTCCCCCAAAGTTCTATTTTTAGCCATGTCTGACATGTTGGTTGGCAGGCAGGGTCATCGGACACATTTATTAAACTAGATACCCTAGTGATGATTGTGGCCAAGTTTGGTTAAATTTGTCTCAGTTGTTTCAGGAGAGAAGATTTTTGTAAAAGATTACAAAAATTTACGAATAATTGTTAAATTTGACTTTAAAGGGCAATAACTCCTTATGGGGTCAATTGACCATATTGGTCATGTTGACTTCTTTGTAGATCTGACTTTGCTGAACATAATGGCTGTTTACAGTTTATCTCCATCTATAATAATATTCAAGATAACAAAAAACTGCAAAATTTCCTTAAAATTACTAATTCAGGGGCAGCAACCCAACAAAGGGTTGTCTGATTCATCTGAAAATTTCAGGGCAGATAGATCTTAACCTGATGAACATTTTTACCCATAGTCAGATTTGCTCTAAATGCTTTAGTTTCAGAGATATAAGCCAAAAACTGCATTTTACCCCTATGTTCTATTTTTAGCCATGTCGGCCATCTTGGTTGGCAGGCGGGGTCATCGGACACATTTTTAAAACTAGATACCCTAGTGATGATTGTGGCCAAGTTTGGTTAAATTTGGCCCAGTAGTTTCAGAGGAGATTTTTGTAAAAGTTAACGGACGACGATGGACGCCAAGTGATGAGAAAAGCTCACTTGGCCCTGTGGGCCAGGTGAGCTAATAAACCTAGTTTAAATAAAAAAATTGTAATGAATAAATACCTACATGTGACATCCTAATGTGCTATCTACAATGAAACCATTTTCATTGTCGAAGAGTGTAACATATTTAGGCGTTATCTGTAACAAAAACAAAAATTGTAAATTAGTATCAGCTTTAAATAGGGAATATTTGATGTTGCAATCAATTCAGAAATTAATGTGATGCATGTTTTATGTCAAATCCTAAATTGGAGACTAGAATATTTACAATTACTTAACTTATTACAGTAAATATTTGAATAAAAGAAATGTTCGACAAATTTGTAATAAAATTTTAAACTGTTGTTCAACGGGAAAACTGATTTTTGTTACCCAACACATATAAAAAGAGTTAAAAGTACAATTATAATGACCAAATACCTACATGATACAAATCTTCGTGTGCTGTATACCATGAAAGCATCTTCATTGTCTAGGAGGGTAACATATCTAGTCTATCTGTAACAAAAACAAAAACTCTAAATCAGTATCAGCTTTAAATAGAGAATATTGGTTGTTGCAATTAATTCAAAATTAATATGATGCATTTTTGATGAAAAATCCTAATTTGAAGACAAGTATATAAACAATTTCTATACATTATCATTAAAATAATCTTCATAAGAGTATAAATTTGAATTGAAGAAATTTTAAATCAATTTGTTATCAAATCTAATTTAAGCTTCCAGGGAAAACTTATTTTTGTTACCTGCAAACCATATAAACATAGTTTAAAGTACAATTAAAAATACCAAATACCTACATGCTACGTATCCAGATGTGTGATCAATCTACCATGAAACCATCTTCATTGTCTAGGAGTGTAACATATTTCGGCTGTATCTATAACAAAACCAAATCATCAATTAGTATCAGCTTCAAATAGAGACTATTGGCTGTTGCAACAATTATAAAATAAATGTCACTCATATTTTATGTCAAATCCTAAATTGGACACAAGAATATTTAAAATTACTACGCATTCATGTTAAAATTTACTTCACTAGATTATAAATTTGAACAAAAGAAATATGTACACTAAGTTGAAATAATATTTTATTTAAGCTGTTGTTCCCGAGAAAACTGATATTTATTACCCAACACATATAAACATAGTCTAGAGTACAATTGTAATGACTACCTACATGTTAAACATCCTAATGTGCATCTACCATGAAACCATATTCAGTGGGTAGGAGTGGAACATATCTGGGCTGTATCTGTTACAAAAGAAAAAATTTAAATTAGCATCAGCTTTAGAGAATATTTAATGGCTGTTAAAAAAATTTAAAAATTAATGTGATTCATGTTTTATGTCAAATCTTAAATTACGGACAATTAATTTACAATTACTCTTTCATTCTTATTAAAATATACCACATTTGAAATTCGAATAAAAGATATTTTAGACCAATCTGTAATAAAATTTTAAGCTATTGTTTCAGTGAAAACAGATTTTTATTGACTTCCAAATATTAACATAGTTTTAAGTACAATTGTAATGACCAAATACTTACATGTTGACTCTTCCTATCTGCCATGAATCCATCTTCTCTGTCTAGGAGTGCAACATATTTAGATGTATCTTTAACAAAAACTATAAATTAATATCAGCTTTAAATACAGACTATTTGCTGTTGCAATTTTTTCAGAATTTAATCTTTGCATGTTGGAGAAGAATATTTATAATTACTATACATTCCATTAAGAATATATTTCATTAGAGTATAAATTTGAAGAAATTTTTTTGAGACCAATTTGTAATAAAGTTTCAAATTGGTTGATAATGAAATAGAGCCAGACAAAAAAAGTAAATACATTTTACCATAAACACAAGTTATCATACTATGTAATCAGCTCTGCTGGGGAATCTGCTTTTACGAGATTAGCGCCCATTAAATTCATCAATGTTATATCAAAATCTAAAGTTTGCTCTCTGCAGAGGTTTGCTTTTACGAGACCCATTTTAACATAAAGCATCTTTTTGTCAAACTGTTCAGGAAAAAACGGATTTTTATTACCTAACAAACATAAACATAGTTTTAAGAACAATTGTAATGACCAAATACCTACATGTGCAACATCCTAATGTGTGAAAGCATCTTTCATGGTATAGGAGTGTTACATATTAAGGCTGTATAATCTGTAACAAAAACAAAAATTATTCATTAGTTTACGCTTTATATCCAGACTCTTTGCTGTTGCAATCAATTCAGAAAATAATGTGATGCATGTTTTATGTTAAATCCCAAAATAGAGAAAAGTATATAATTACAATTACTATACGTTCTTATTAAAATATTCAGCATTAAGAGTATAAATTTTAATGAAAGAAATTTTAGACCAAATTGTTATAAAGCTTCAATCTGTTGTTTCAGGAAAAAACTGATTTTTATTACCTAACAAATATAAATATAGTTTGAAGGAAAATTGTAATGACCAAATACCTACATGTGACTTATCCTAATGTGCATCTGCAATGGAAGCATCTTTCATGGTATAGGAGTCTTACATATTTAGGCTGTATCTGTAATGAAAACAAAAAAAATAAACATTAATTTCAGCTTTTAATCCAGACTTTTTGCTGTTGTAATCAATTCAGAAATTAATGTGATGCATGTTGTAATGTCAAATCCTTAATTGGAGACAAGAATTTTTACAATCACTATACATTCTTATTAAAATATATCTCATTACAGTGAATATTTCAATAAATGTAATGTAGGACCAATTTGTAATAAAATTTCAAGCTGTTGTTCCAGGAAAAACTGATTTTTATTACCTAACAAATATAAACATAGTTTTAAGAACAATTGTTATGAATAAAAACCTACATGTGACTTATCCTAATGTGCTATCTGCAATGGAAGCATCTTTCATGGTATAGGAGTCTTACATATTTAGGCAGTATCTGTAACAAAAACAAATATTTTAAATTAGTTTCAGCTTCAAAATCAAAGCTATTTGCTGTTGCAATCAATTCAGAAATTAATGTGATGCATGTTTTATGTCAAATCCTAAATTGGAGACGTATATTTACAATAACTATACATTCTTATTAAAATATACTTCATTAGGATATAAATAGGAATAAAAGAAATTTTAGACCAATTTGTTATAAAGCTTCAATCTGTTGTTTCAGTGAAAACTGATTTTAATGCCTAACAAATACTAGAGGCTCCAAGGAGCCTGTGTCGCTCACCTGATATTTTTATTTACAATTGATGCATGAAATAATGCAACCGTTATACATTTGCTTTAGTTTCAGAGATACAAGTCAAAAACTGCATTTTCCCCCAAAGTTCTATTTTTAGCCATGTCTGACATGTTGGTTGGCAGGCAGGGTCATCGGACACATTTATTAAACTAGATACCCTAGTGATGATTGTGGCCAAGTTTGGTTAAATTTGTCTCAGTTGTTTCAGGAGAGAAGATTTTTGTAAAAGATTACAAAAATTTACGAATAATTGTTAAATTTGACTTTAAAGGGCAATAACTCCTTATGGGGTCAATTGACCATATTGGTCATGTTGACTTCTTTGTAGATCTGACTTTGCTGAACATAATGGCTGTTTACAGTTTATCTCCATCTATAATAATATTCAAGATAACAAAAAACTGCAAAATTTCCTTAAAATTACTAATTCAGGGGCAGCAACCCAACAAAGGGTTGTCGGATTCATCTGAAAATTTCAGGGCAGATAGATCTTAACCTGATGAACATTTTTACCCATAGTCAGATTTGCTCTAAATGCTTTAGTTTCAGAGATATAAGCCAAAAACTGCATTTTACCCCTATGTTCTATTTTTAGCCATGTCGGCCATCTTGGTTGGCAGGCGGGGTCATCGGACACATTTTTAAAACTAGATACCCTAGTGATGATTGTGGCCAAGTTTGGTTAAATTTGGCCCAGTAGTTTCAGAGGAGATTTTTGTAAAAGTTAACGGACGACGATGGACGCCAAGTGATGAGAAAAGCTCACTTGGCCCTGTGGGCCAGGTGAGCTAATAAACCTAGTTTAAATAAAAAAATTGTAATGAATAAATACCTACATGTGACATCCTAATGTGCTATCTACAATGAAACCATTTTCATTGTCGAAGAGTGTAACATATTTAGGCGTTATCTGTAACAAAAACAAAAATTGTAAATTAGTATCAGCTTTAAATAGGGAATATTTGATGTTGCAATCAATTCAGAAATTAATGTGATGCATGTTTTATGTCAAATCCTAAATTGGAGACTAGAATATTTACAATTACTTAACTTATTACAGTAAATATTTGAATAAAAGAAATGTTCGACAAATTTGTAATAAAATTTTAAACTGTTGTTCAACGGGAAAACTGATTTTTGTTACCCAACACATATAAAAAGAGTTAAAAGTACAATTATAATGACCAAATACCTACATGATACAAATCTTCGTGTGCTGTATACCATGAAAGCATCTTCATTGTCTAGGAGGGTAACATATCTAGTCTATCTGTAACAAAAACAAAAACTCTAAATCAGTATCAGCTTTAAATAGAGAATATTGGTTGTTGCAATTAATTCAAAATTAATATGATGCATTTTTGATGAAAAATCCTAATTTGAAGACAAGTATATAAACAATTTCTATACATTATCATTAAAATAATCTTCATAAGAGTATAAATTTGAATTGAAGAAATTTTAAATCAATTTGTTATCAAATCTAATTTAAGCTTCCAGGGAAAACTTATTTTTGTTACCTGCAAACCATATAAACATAGTTTAAAGTACAATTAAAAATACCAAATACCTACATGCTACGTATCCAGATGTGTGATCAATCTACCATGAAACCATCTTCATTGTCTAGGAGTGTAACATATTTCGGCTGTATCTATAACAAAACCAAATCATCAATTAGTATCAGCTTCAAATAGAGACTATTGGCTGTTGCAACAATTATAAAATAAATGTCACTCATATTTTATGTCAAATCCTAAATTGGACACAAGAATATTTAAAATTACTACGCATTCATGTTAAAATTTACTTCACTAGATTATAAATTTGAACAAAAGAAATATGTACACTAAGTTGAAATAATATTTTATTTAAGCTGTTGTTCCCGAGAAAACTGATATTTATTACCCAACACATATAAACATAGTCTAAAGTACAATTGTAATGACTACCTACATGTTAAACATCCTAATGTGCATCTACCATGAAACCATATTCAGTGGGTAGGAGTGGAACATATCTGGGCTGTATCTGTTACAAAAGAAAAAATTTAAATTAGCATCAGCTTTAGAGAATATTTAATGGCTGTTAAAAAAATTTAAAAATTAATGTGATTCATGTTTTATGTCAAATCTTAAATTACGGACAATTAATTTACAATTACTCTTTCATTCTTATTAAAATATACCACATTTGAAATTCGAATAAAAGATATTTTAGACCAATCTGTAATAAAATTTTAAGCTATTGTTTCAGTGAAAACAGATTTTTATTGACTTCCAAATATTAACATAGTTTTAAGTACAATTGTAATGACCAAATACTTACATGTTGACTCTTCCTATCTGCCATGAATCCATCTTCTCTGTCTAGGAGTGCAACATATTTAGATGTATCTTTAACAAAAACTATAAATTAATATCAGCTTTAAATACAGACTATTTGCTGTTGCAATTTTTTCAGAATTTAATCTTTGCATGTTGGAGAAGAATATTTATAATTACTATACATTCCATTAAGAATATATTTCATTAGAGTATAAATTTGAAGAAATTTTTTTGAGACCAATTTGTAATAAAGTTTCAAATTGGTTGATAATGAAATAGAGCCAGACAAAAAAACTAAATACATTTTACCATAAACACAAGTTATCATACTATGTAATCAGCTCTGCTGGGGAATCTGCTTTTACGAGATTAGCGCCCATTAAATTCATCAATGTTATATCAAAATCTAAAGTTTGCTCTCTGCAGAGGTCTGCTTTTACGAGACCCATTTTAACATAAAGCATCTTTTTGTCAAACTGTTCAGGAAAAAACGGATTTTTATTACCTAACAAACATAAACATAGTTTTAAGAACAATTGTAATGACCAAATACCTACATGTGCAACATCCTAATGTGTGAAAGCATCTTTCATGGTATAGGAGTGTTACATATTAAGGCTGTATAATCTGTAACAAAAACAAAAATTATTAATTAGTTTACGCTTTATATCCAGACTCTTTGCTGTTGCAATCAATTCAGAAAATAATGTGATGCATGTTTTATGTTAAATCCCAAAATAGAGAAAAGTATATAATTACAATTACTATACGTTCTTATTAAAATATTCAGCATTAAGAGTATAAATTTTAATGAAAGAAATTTTAGACCAAATTGTTATAAAGCTTCAATCTGTTGTTTCAGGAAAAAACTGATTTTTATTACCTAACAAATATAAATATAGTTTGAAGGAAAATTGTAATGACCAAATACCTACATGTGACTTATCCTAATGTGCATCTGCAATGGAAGCATCTTTCATGGTATAGGAGTCTTACATATTTAGGCTGTATCTGTAATGAAAACAAAAAAAATAAACATTAATTTCAGCTTTTAATCCAGACTTTTTGCTGTTGTAATCAATTCAGAAATTAATGTGATGCATGTTGTAATGTCAAATCCTTAATTGGAGACAAGAATTTTTACAATCACTATACATTCTTATTAAAATATATCTCATTACAGTGAATATTTCAATAAATGTAATGTAGGACCAATTTGTAATAAAATTTCAAGCTGTTGTTCCAGGAAAAACTGATTTTTATTACCTAACAAATATAAACATAGTTTTAAGAACAATTGTTATGAATAAAAACCTACATGTGACTAATCCTAATGTGCTATCTGCAATGGAAGCATCTTTCATGGTATAGGAGTCTTACATATTTAGGCAGTATCTGTAACAAAAACAAATATTTTAAATTAGTTTCAGCTTCAAAATCAAAGCTATTTACTGTTGCAATCAATTCAGAAATTAATGTGATGCATGTTTTATGTCAAATCCTAAATTGGAGACGTATATTTACAATAACTATACATTCTTATTAAAATATACTTCATTAGGATATAAATAGGAATAAAAGAAATTTTAGACCAATTTGTTATAAAGCTTCAATCTGTTGTTTCAGTGAAAACTGATTTTAATGCCTAACAAATACTAGAGGCTCCAAGGAGCCTGTGTCGCTCACCTGATATTTTTATTTACAATTGATGCATGAAATAATGCAACCGTTATACATTTGCTTTAGTTTCAGAGATACAAGTCAAAAACTGCATTTTCCCCCAAAGTTCTATTTTTAGCCATGTCTGACATGTTGGTTGGCAGGCAGGGTCATCGGACACATTTATTAAACTAGATACCCTAGTGATGATTGTGGCCAAGTTTGGTTAAATTTGTCTCAGTTGTTTCAGGAGAGAAGATTTTTGTAAAAGATTACAAAAATTTACGAATAATTGTTAAATTTGACTTTAAAGGGCAATAACTCCTTATGGGGTCAATTGACCATATTGGTCATGTTGACTTCTTTGTAGATCTGACTTTGCTGAACATAATGGCTGTTTACAGTTTATCTCCATCTATAATAATATTCAAGATAACAAAAAACTGCAAAATTTCCTTAAAATTACTAATTCAGGGGCAGCAACCCAACAAAGGGTTGTCTGATTCTTCTGAAAATTTCAGGGCAGATAGATCTTAACCTGATGAACATTTTTACCCATAGTCAAAAATGCTTTAGTTTCAGAGATATAAGCCAAAAACTGCATTTTACCCCTATGTTCTATTTTTAGCCATGTCGGCCATCTTGGTTGGCAGGCGGGGTCATCGGACAAATTTTTAAAACTAGATACCCTAGTGATGATTGTGGCCAAGTTTGGTTAAATTTGGCTCAGTAGTTTCAGAAAAGTATTTTGTAAAAGTTAACGGACGACGATGGACGCCAAGTGATGAGAAAAGCTCACTTGGCCCTGTGGGCCAGGTGAGCTAATAAACCTAGTTTAAATAAAAAAATTGTAATGAATAAATACCTACATGTGACATCCTAATGTGCTATCTACAATGAAACCATTTTCATTGTCGAAGAGTGTAACATATTTAGGCGTTATCTGTAACAAAAACAAAAATTGTAAATTAGTATCAGCATTAAATAGGGAATATTTGATGTTGCAATCAATTCAGAAATTAATGTGATGCATGTTTTATGTCAAATCCTAAATTGGAGACTAGAATATTTACAATTACTTAACTTATTACAGTAAATATTTGAATAAAAGAAATGTTCGACAAATTTGTAATAAAATTTTAAACTGTTGTTCAACGGGAAAACTGATTTTTGTTACCCAACACATATAAAAAGAGTTAAAAGTACAATTATAATGACCAAATACCTACATGATACAAATCTTCGTGTGCTGTATACCAAGAAAACATCTTCATTGTCTAGGAGGGTAACATATCTAGTCTATCTGTAACAAAAACAAAAACTCTAAATCAGTATCAGCTTTAAATAGAGAATATTGGTTGTTGCAATTAATTCAAAATTAATATGATGCATTTTTGATGAAAAATCCTAATTTGAAGACAAGTATATAAACAATTTCTATACATTATCATTAAAATAATCTTCATAAGAGTATAAATTTGAATTGAAGAAATTTTAAATCAATTTGTTATCAAATCTAATTTAAGCTTCCAGGGAAAACTTATTTTTGTTACCTGCAAACCATATAAACATAGTTTAAAGTACAATTAAAAATACCAAATACCTACATGCTACGTATCCAGATGTGTGATCAATCTACCATGAAACCATCTTCATTGTCTAGGAGTGTAACATATTTCGGCTGTATCTATAACAAAACCAAATCATCAATTAGTATCAGCTTCAAATAGAGACTATTGGCTGTTGCAACAATTATAAAATAAATGTCACTCATATTTTATGTCAAATCCTAAATTGGACACAAGAATATTTAAAATTACTACGCATTCATGTTAAAATTTACTTCACTAGATTATAAATTTGAACAAAAGAAATATGTACACTAAGTTGAAATAATATTTTATTTAAGCTGTTGTTCCCGAGAAAACTGATATTTATTACCCAACACATATAAACATAGTCTAAAGTACAATTGTAATGACTACCTACATGTTAAACATCCTAATGTGCATCTACCATGAAACCATATTCAGTGGGTAGGAGTGGAACATATCTGGGCTGTATCTGTTACAAAAGAAAAAATTTAAATTAGCATCAGCTTTAGAGAATATTTAATGGCTGTTAAAAAAATTTAAAAATTAATGTGATTCATGTTTTATGTCAAATCTTAAATTACGGACAATTAATTTACAATTACTCTTTCATTCTTATTAAAATATACCACATTTGAAATTCGAATAAAAGATATTTTAGACCAATCTGTAATAAAATTTTAAGCTAT